GTACTGGGCTGCAATTTTCCATAATAGTAGGTGACTGTTGCCCTCGCAGTTACGTCTGCCACCTTGATCACCAGGAACTTCTGTGCCGTGAAGATTCTATATCCTTAAATAAAAGCGCAAACCTTGAGTTACAGATTAAAATGCGCATTAGCATGTTAGACAGAAGGCATTTTATCACAAATTTTGTGTAGCTCAAAAAATGAATTGAATATAAATGAACTGCATTAGGTATTGAAAGTCTGGGTAGTATATCAACTTGCATGAAAATATTAAAACTAAGACGTCTCACCTTTTCGAAAAACGTCATTGACATGCGGGGGATTACAATTTTGCAAATAGTTTGGATTAACGATCCTTCATATAGAATGTGCTTCATATCGCAGCCTGTTATTTTTGCTGCCTCCAGGTTCACCATTTGGAATTCAAACCATCGGTCATCCTTTATGTATTTTTCAACTCTCAACGGAAACATTCTGTTTAGGCTGCTTTCCACGAATTTCTCCAGGTCAACTAATTCATTGTCTTTCGTACATTTATTATTGCCTGAGTATGAATGGGTAAAAAATTACGAAGACGGGAAGATCTAGTGAATAAAGCAAGAAATAAGTAAAAGCTATTTCGTACATACATTTCACAATCAAGCATGCAATCATCAACCACATTTTATCGATTAAATCAAGTTACCATCGAACACTGTGATTAAGCAAGCGTCCAAATCTTGGGGATACTAGTATGAGACCCAATATGTTCTGAAGGTAATGAGAGTCTCTACCTCCATCTTATGACTGCTATGGCCTGCATTTTGGTAGCGTTTAATCAAGGGGTTTAATCACTTGGTTGTCCCTGTTTATGACGTCCGACCCATTGAGTGAGATATGTTGCCTTCCAACAAAGTGGGGCAGTGCAATTCCTAAGAGTGTTGAAACTATTCATATGTATAGGTATTCTGTGGTCTTCCCTATACAAACTTAACGAATTCAAGAAAAATTGATTTCTGAAGTTTGAAAATTCTATTACGCTTGTACATTGATGCGTCAATAAATGATGGACTTACCAAATACATTTAAACAAGGAGAAACATAGCGCACGCAAACTGACAAAAAGGTTACAGTCAACCACATTATGTGTAACACGTCAAGGCAGAGTCCAGAACCAGACAGCTTTTATATATATTGACCAGCAGCCTATCAATACATGCCAGCCAATTGAAGGAATGCACGTGTTTCCTATTGGTTTAACTTATCGAATTGATGCTTTTACAATTTGTAGGCGAATGAAGGCTTATCCCAGTCCTTCTGCTGTTGCAGAATTTATTTTACCGATATTCGGAGTTCGATAGTGCAGGTAGGCAGTCTATAGCAGTGAAAAAGTAAAAGATAATATTAAACTGAAGAACTTATGTGGAATACAGCACTGGGTCTATAATATAATATGATATATTGCAAATTAGAGCGAAAATGCGGGACGGACATACATGAGAATAAGAGGCAAGTTCGGGAATAATGTGTATAATATCCTGACGTTTCGAAGGCGTACATATATGGATCGTCGTAGGGTGGTTTTTGTACACGCCTCACAGTTTTTAAAGGTGGTAAAATGACATTTTTTCGGTTTTTAATTCATTAGTGCTGTGTTACCTGCGGGTGGTAGACCTTAATTCTCGTCCTGCTGAGCAGGGTTTCTTACGCTCGCCTCGTCGGAGGTGGAGGAGACAGTGTTCGCATGGTAACGGTCATCGCTCTGGTTTGTATTGAGCACGTTGACTGTGCAGGTCCTGTTTGTCTTGCTCGCGACTCCTGTTTGCACTTTCCATTGTTCGTCTCGCAGGTGGTTCCAGTGTCTTCATTCCTATCGGAATTTCTAACCCCGCAACTAGTGTTTATGCACAGACCGTTGTCATGTACGCCTGTATTCAAGTTCGACAGGAGGTCATGTTGGTTACCGTTCCTCACGATGTAGCTGACGGCTGCATTGGTGTTTGGGGTAGGTACCCGCACACCTGTGTTCTGGCCCAGTTTGAGGCTGCTAGTCGTTGCGAGCCGTCCGATTTCCTGCCGGCGATTTCGTTAATTGAGCAGCACGCGTAACGCCTCGTAAGCCGCCAGGCGAATCTACGGCGGATGATAGAAATTAGCCCAGTGTGCCATGCTTCAAATGTTTCTTTAGCTGTCTGTTCACTTCCTCGGCCTAGGATTTCGGCGTCATCAAAGGCGAAGGTGTGTCCAGAAGCCGCTGAATGTTCCGCCACCAACGAGAGTTTATCCATCCTTCTAACTGTCCATGCGTGCTAGCTCAAAGGTGTCTGTAGTCACTTTCTGAGCTCCTCGATGTATTTCGCATCAGAAAAAATGCAATGGACGTGATGGACGACGTTTGCTGTGTCTCCGTGGGACAGAGGTGCCTTTTTGCCTCATGTCTAGTCGTCTTATTGTTGACTCAGGTCTGTGGGCTACGCTGATACCGAGTGGTTGTACGAGACGAGCGACTGCCTTAGAAACATTCTCGATGTACGGCATTGCTCTCCACATTCTCGGTTGTTCCACCGCTGGTCTTGCAGCTCGTTTCAGTTGTCTGCTGCTTTTAGGAATCTGCGTTGGTAACCATTAGATATGAACACCCGCCGAGGATATTCAATTTCAGCCTCTCTGTCACCAGCCGCGTTGCAATTTATTTCTGCACTTTTGTTAAGCGGTTGCGCAAAGCTATTTTGTGGCCCAGCGGATGATTACTTTGGTAGCTAAGTACCTGACGTGTGTCCGTTGCCTTTCAGTAGACCGTCATCTTTAGGCTCTTATCAGTCTTCCGGTGGACCAAGACGTCTACGAACGCAAGTTGCTCACTGATCTTAGCCTCCGTTGTCAACATAATTTCAGCAGAATTGGAGTTCGGCATCGTGTGTAATTCAAAAACCATTTCACGCTTGAGGACGTCGATGGTATCGTCTAAGTACCATGCCCAAAATATTTGTCTATGGTTCGAAAATACCACTGTCTCTAACTTTTGAAGGACTGTCTCAGCAAGGAAACCAGATAGCGGTGAACCCATCCGAGTCCCTTTGATTTGTTCAGACAACGTGCCCTTTGAAGCTAAAGTACGTGTTGAGGCAGAACTTGAGCAGCCGGATGACATGCGCTCGTGTAGGCTTATTAGTCCCCTTTTCATATTGGCTCTCAATTAGATCACTCATAGTTTCATCCGCAAGAGTGTGAGTAATTTATGTGATGAGTGAGGTAACATCAAACGATACCGTGACTTTGTCTGCGTTAAGACGTAGCCCGTTAAACGTTTCTAAGAAATGTAGGACCAAGCGTGCCATTGTGTCGCAGCCTGATATGAGACAGTTCAGATGCCGGAACAACCATTTCGACAGATTGAATGTCGGTGTCCCCCGTGAAGAAACAACCCGTCAAAGTGGAGCACCAGGCCTCTGAACTTTTGGCAATTCATAGAATGTCGCCATGGCTGAATTGCTTGGTTTTATATTTACTCGTTCGGTTTGTGAGATGGCACCGTTATTCTGCAGTCCCACGAGTGCCGTGTTGATTTGTGTCACTACCTTCTTCATAGGATCTCTGTCGCACTGGCAGTAGGCATTTTGGTCATCCAGCAGAAGGTTGGTCTTTCGGAGGTATTCAGGCTTATAAAGTACCACTGTGGAGCGCGCCTGGTCGGCTGGCAGTACTACGATGCTCCTGTCAGCATTCAGTGTCTTGATGACGTCCTCTTTCGCCCTCGAGATTGAGGACCGTGATTTATGCGTCGATAGTAAGGACATCACCTGTTGTCGGATGAGGTGCTTCGTATCGCCCGGCTACTGGAAGTTTTAAGGACTGACTCAACGGTAGCCAACAGATCAACCGAATACGCATCCGCGCGCGCTTGAGCACTTGTAACTGCACGGATTTTAGTTTTTTGGAGGATAAATTTTGGACCAATGTCTCCTCGCGATTCTGTACAATTGGCAGTACTTTTTGAAATTTAAATGCCAACTCCTTGTCTCGTCTGGATCT